CCCACCCCCAGCCTCCTCTTAGGACTCTCCCCCACCCCACCCGGGAGAGGAGGAAAGCCCCCGCACATGCCTCCTCCGGGGTCAACTACCCCTCCTGCGGCGCAGGGCAGCCCCCGCACGCGCCCCCTCTGGGGCCAAATTCCCCCTCCCGTGGTGCAGGGAAGCCACCACGTGCCTCCTCCGGGGACTCCCCCCAGGCAAGTTCCCGGCCTGCCAAAGAACTTAGGGAGGGGAGCATTCAGCGCACTTCCGGAACACCCAGAAGTGGCGTGAAGCTGCAGGACTTCCGTCCATCCCGCAGGAAGCCAGCATTACCTCCATTTTCGCTGGAGGTAGGTAGTGGGGCTTCTCAGGGTGAAGAGGTTATGGGGGTTTGAACACCTCACGATCGACTGATTGAGGCCTTGCGATCGACCAGTCGATCACGATTGACGGGTTGGTGACCACGGAGCTAGGGTAAGATGCAATAGTTGAGTAAACAGCCTACAAGAGAGGAATATCACAGCAAGAATGAGGTCATGTGCATATGTAACCTCTCTGCTCAAGAGTGAGGGTACAGGTTTTTCTCACCTAATAAAAAGTAGCACAACTGTCCTAACCTGTGAAGCAATGTTTTCCTTACCATTAATGTATGTTCTAGAGCAGAGCAACTCAACACACAGCTCGCGGGTCACATGAAGCCCATTTGGGGTTTACATGGGGCTTAACACATGGCCCACAGATGGGGTCCTTTGAACCACTGGGAACATGCTCTACAATGGCGAGTCAATAGAACAGTCTTCTGTTGATATGCGTTTTAGTAGTACAATTCCTGGAGTGTCATTGCTCATTAAAAGTACTGTCATATGGGTGGGAATCAGGTAACACTTGCATTTTATTAATATCAGCAGACTTAAATGGGGTCTGCGTGGTGTGTAGTCTTGCCTTAATCTTTGTATTGATGGCTGTCAGTGTGAAAAGCTATTTGCATATATATATATATCTGCATGTTATATGCAACCACACTTAAGCTGCAGCCCTTGACATGTGCAGGGAGTATCATTGTGGCCTCCGGGGCTTTCAAGGTTGAGTACCCTGCTCTAGAGAAGTATCGCACATGCCTTGTTATTTGATGTATAAAAGTGGCTATTTTATCCTAAGATTTTGTCTAGGGATGTAAAAGCTTAACCAGTAATCCCTACCCTTAATGAGTGAGGCTTACTGGTTCCCATATGAGCTGGAGCAACTCCCCACTGACCCTGGAAGGAGTCTTCACTGCCAGCTCTGTAATATAAAGTTAAGCGTTATAGTGCAGAGTCCACAACGCAGGTAACCACTTAGTTACTTTTAAAAATGACTTTCTACATCCCTTATTTTGTCCTGATGACGTTGTTACAGGCATTGACTAAACTCTTTGAATCTTGATCCTTTCCAACAATTTGTAAGTTTCATATGCCGAAGGATAGAGTATGTGACATGGTTCATTTTTTCCTTGTAAGGCACTGAGCTTTGTCGTTAACAGTGCACTATCCTCATGACAGGAAGGAACCTTTTCCCATCAAATGCAGCATCAGATAGGCTATGCACAACTTACTCATGGTATTCCAGCAGGTGCTTTGCTCAGAACATCTCAGCATGTTCACCAGGTTGCAGTGCTCCATTTGGTATGGGTAGTTGAGACTGACAGCTGCATCTGTACTATCTTATTCCTATTATCCCCATCTAAAAAAGCATTGGCACTTTAAAAATTGTGTTATTGCAGTTCTAACTCCTGGAGATAAGTCCTTGAATAGTTTAATTTGTGTATCTGCTTGAAAATTGTACTTTAGTCCTACAACGTTAAGGTTGTATCCTAGGATACTAGGATTCTTTCAGAAAAAACTTGGTGCAAATGTGACTTTCAAAAGGAGGCACGTACTGAAAAAGATGAAGCCTTCAGAGGAAAGTCATTAATGCTACAAGCTAGACCTCCCAAAACCTGGACTCTGGTCCAGCAATGGACCATAGATGTTCCTGGACCAGGGAGTCCTGGCTGGGAGCCCCAGTGGCAAAAGGCCTGACAGCTGTGGCAGCACAGTCTAGCAGTGGGCTACGAGGCCAGTGGAAGGGGACATCTCTCTGGCCTGGCAAATTCCGTTTTTGGGACCAGTCAGCTCCTGAGGGTGCCAGGTCAGAGAGGTCCAACCTGTAGTTATTTTCTTCATTATTTGCTGAATGTCTAATCTAGTAAGGATAAATCATAATTAACCACATTCCATTGATCTGAGTGGCTAATTTGATATGGGTTTAAAAAAACCTCTTCCTAAAAGCAAGCCTTAAAGCTATGATTTCTTTAAGAGCGTTAGGTTGAAGGGAGAAGAAACATTAAGAATCACACTTTCATATGTAAAAAATGGAAAATTCATTCCTGACTTAAGTGATATTGATTATATGAGATATATAAATACACCATTTCTAACTATTTCTGTAGTCTCTGGTTTTTGCTAGTGATTGCCAGTGCATTATCTCAAGATTTAATAGCTGTGGCTAGAGTTTAGGTTTTTCAGTATCCTGAGGAAAGCTAATATTTTTGTTGACCACAAAGCTGCTACTTCAGCACTTTTCTATATTATCTTTTTCTTAAGGGCTTCTTCTAAGTATGATTCCAGCCCTGCCTCCATCTACAGCAGTAAGTGTTTTGGATTATACTTGGACACAAATATGATAATTTGATGGGATTATCATTGTGCTGATGTTTCAAAGTGAGGGAAGGAACTTTACCCCTCAATTTGACAGAATATGAATAGGGGAACCATAGGCCATGAAAAATATCTGGCTTAAATCCTATACATTGAAAGGATGTTTACAAAGTTCACTATTAGGCTTAAATACTAATCATATGCTGACTTTTAGCTTTATATTCAAACATGCATGATGCAGCACTGGAAATTTTGAATACTTAAGTTCTATCTTGACACACGTAGACTTTTCGGCTTTCAAATGAAGTTGTACACATCTTATGGTAGAGTTTGGCTTCAGAGATTTCTGTTTTGAGTAGAGGTGGAAGAGAAGAGAGACAGCAGAAGTTCTTTATCCCAGAATAGTATTTAATGTAATTGTAGGACAGTTATGGAGTCATGTTTAACCCATTAATTACAGGCAGGGTTTTGATGGCAATATTGTACATTTTTATTAGCTATCAGTATAATAATTGAAATATTTGGTTCTTACAGATGTGTGGACAGTGTGAGGCAAACAACCATATCTGCTCCCCATGAGCGTTACCATCTGAAATATTTACACTAGTTTGATCACAGTTTGAGAGTAAATACAAGGACATTAATTTCCCGTGGATTACAAGAATGGTGCAATATTGCTCAAACATTTTCCCCTTCTATGTAACATGCATATCCTGCAATACCAGAAATAAGATTAATTTGAAAAAAAATCATTAGAATCCTAGAAAGAGCAATTACTTTAAGGCAAAATACTGAGATATCAACACAACCTTTTTTAAAAATAGAGAAATGAGAACTTTTTATCAAAGATTGCACATGCCTCTGCATATAGGTACTCATAGATCATAAAAAGGCAGTAATAAAAACATCAGTGCAACCTAGGTTAGGTTATTTAGTAGAGAAAATGAGGTGGTAACTGTTCTTATAGCAAGCTGTTATTTTCAAATATCAAAACATATGCTCCTTAGAGACAATTCTATTTCTGGCTGCAGGCCACATATGTTGCATAAAATGCAATCTTTTTACTAGATCCAATAAGGTATAAAACTCTGTTGAGACTATATTTGTTTTGGAACACCAAATGAGTGTACTGGCAAATTTCCCAATTTTAATATGTTCCCCTTTCACACTTTTATTTCTCCTTTAATAAAAGATTAACAATTTATCAAAAATATTGACCACTGATTTTTTTATAACCCACCAAGAATAGTGCAAAGAGCTGCAAACTCAGTGCTGTTCCTCTTAATATTTTGGTGAGGACCCAAGACTAGATTTTACAGACAAAATTATGAGCCTAAAAAGCTTTAGCTGACGTGAGTTTTGTAAAAGGGAGCGAAAGGCACAGAAATCAGTTGAGCTATGAAGAACGCTATTAACCAGAGGTCAGGACAAATGCAATCATACAGTACGATATATTTTCTAATCAAAGACCAGACAACTGTTACAAAATCATTTAAAAAGAGCATTAGATTTCTACTTACATTTTGTGCTGTAAGACACTGTGCTGTAATAACACTGCAAAAAGGCAGTATGTATTGCTTTCAATTTATTTAACAATGGAACGTTTCACAAAAACAGTAGTCTACTTTCCTGTGTCTAAGTGACTTGTGGTTTTGATGATGGAATGGAATAAGTCTCAAAAGCATCAAGTGAGCAGGAAATAAAATCTAGTTAGTTATATATACTATGTTACTATTTACATGCTATATACCAAATGAAAAATTATGCACAGGATAGCTAATAAAACTGGGATTTTGGATTTTATTTTAACCAGCTCCCATTAGTCACAACTGAGTTTAACATTCAGAAAGACATTCTGAGATGTATTGTAATTTTGCCTAAGAAATTGGACAATGAATGTTTTAGGCACCAAAGATTTAAGTGTTATCTTTCAATTGTACTTTGCTCTTCTGGGTAAGAAAGAGGTGTGCTCATTCTACTTGTGTGCGTGTATGTGGGTGTGTGGAATCTAAAGAGCAAATAAAATAGATTGTCAGTTTTGTGTCCCATCTCTTCTTCACTGCATATTTTACTTTCCTTGCTAGTGACAATCAGTACTGTAGTTTATCACTATCAGCCTTCACTAAAAGTGTGTTTCTAAAATAGTGCTAAAAACTATATTGTGCGATTTACACAGTCTTCACACGGCTTTATTCAAAAAGAAATGACTATGGTCTTCATTAAACTGTTAGGTGAATCAGAAATCTATACATATATAATGCAGCCACACTCAGTAACTACTCTCATATACGAGATAGTCAATTGTATTTGTACCCTATGATATTTTACATACTGTATCATATACATGAATAAAAATTTATCAATAGAGCTATTTTTACAAGAGGTGAGGAACTGACAATACTAGTCTCAGCCAAGTATATCTGCAATGCAAATAATTTCTGACCTGGAACGTATCTGCTGTTGCAGTCCTATGTTTTTCAAATAGGGGAAATCAATTACTGAAGTTGTAGGGTAGGGTATTTTCTCATGTGCAAATACCATTTGGGACCTGATAGTTGAATTCAAGTTGCTAGATTAATGGCTAATGCATTTGCTGACTGCACTGCTGAAATCATTAATATTAAGAAGGGTTTTAAAATTCTGGAAGACCACACATACACATGCTACCAGAAGCAACCTGTCTTCAAAGTTTGTAAATCAATGACTTGCACAGAGGATTTCACTTAAACTGATTGACTAATCTTACTCAGATAGCTGGTATAAAACTCAAACTACATCTAGAAAACAAGAGCTTGTTAAACCTGGCTAACAGGTAAATATTTTTAAATTTCAGAAACGAGGTATAAGTAGTATTTGCATTAAAAGGTAAGGCACCACTATGTACAACTTCCATTATGGGCACTCATTCAGATAAATGTTTCAGAAGCATTTAACGAAACATTTTTCTAGTTGTTCTATCTAATTGCAAATCTGACAGTTTGTGCAACCACTGATATTTTACCGATCACTGCTGCACCAATGAATGGTGAATAGTCGGTATGTCACCATTACCCCCCCAATCTTTCCTCTGACATTCTACAGCAACTTGCCATATATAATGTAACACAGATAACAAAAGAATAGTTGTACTACATCCACAGGGCAAGTGATTAAAATGTGGTTGAATTGATACAGTAAAGCCAGAATAAACTATCTGAATATTCCAGGCATGATTTAAAACTTAGTTACCCGCAAGTACTATGATTACAAAATTAATTTACATTAATGCTTGGATATTATCACATACGAATAAAACAGGTGGTTTCTAGAAATCCTGTGATTTCAGCTAGGTGAAGGTTGGTCCAACACATGTCTCATTTAAAAATGTTCCAGTTATTTTCAAGTAAGAAAAAATGCACAAAGCACAAGTGAACAGAGTTGTTTCACTTTGTTATTGTCTGCTGTAGAGGTTAAGATGTGGTACAGCCGTCAGCCGATACCAGTTAACAGTCTCCTTGCTCAAGTTAAAATCCTTTAGGGGCAGTGTAACTCCACCCAGGAAGACGTTCTCACGCAACGATTCTGCGCTGAGTACACTTAGCTGTAGGTCCTTCTGCTTTAATGACTCCTTACTGTATCCACTGTACACAAGCTATGAAAAACAATACATAGCCAATGAAAGCTCAGACAATTTGTTAAATGTCCAAACAAATCATAAGGACTGCTGGTTAAAGCAAGCAGATTTATAGATGGGCTCCTGGGTTGCTCTCCTGGATTTGCTACTAACCTTGTGAGACTCGGCAAGACTGCATCTTAGATATCCTCTGTAAGAAGGGGGTGGTTATATGCTAGACAGCTGTGGTATAACTGCTAAATCCAGTCAGTTCAGAGCAACCAGAAAGAGCAACAAGAGATACGGTTGATGGCCAATGTATTTTGTGAAATCAAATTAGAATATGCCAATCAATATTTGGTTCTATTATTCTCATCTCCCCTCCCCCCCCTGCCAAAAGTTAATGATCTTTTACTTTGAGATTCTCATCTCTCCTCCTCCCCCCACCCCCCGCCAAAAGTTAATGATCTTTTACTTTGAGAAATCTGTTTTACTACATTTAAGCTATTCCTTAATTGTAATGGCTTGATTACATATTCATCTTTATTGGATTATGAGGTACGAAGCAGGGGAGAATATATCTGGAACAGGAGTGTTCAGATGTGTAATGTATAAAGCTTTTGGGAGGCACAATCAATTTACTATGATGTGTGTGAAAGGAATTATTTACCAGGCTTTCAAATAAACTATATCTACCAGCATGTTTTTAAGAAAAAGTTATGGAATCTTTACCAGTTAACGGATTTTTCTTACCATTTCATTGAATGTTGGGTTCCTTGTTTTTCGTGTGATTCTGGTTTTGCATTTAGATGTTTTGTTTGCATCTGGAAGCAAGTATGTTTTTACATAAGGATTTGGATCTGCACCATCTTCAGTAACCTGCAAACACCGCGTACAATTAGTCTTCATTCTATTTTAATGTGTTTATTTCAGTGTCTTTCCCTCCAAATAAATGGATTTGGTGTCTATTTTCACCTCAATTACCTACCAAGAGCAACTGCTGATAATCAGACTAATTGAATACAAAGTGTTTAAGGAGACCCCCATTCTGTCTCTTATATACACACACCAAAAACATACTGTGTCAGTCACTCACTTTCTTCACTCACCAGGTCTTTTATGTGCATCACCATGATAAACAGAGTGCCATTTCTATATGAGATACACAACTTTACTTCTCCTCCTACTTTGCCCGAGGTAGGACTTGATGGACTTGCATCTGAAAATATGCACACAATTTTCCATCAGTACCACTGTACTAATTAAATGTACCGAAAACTAACAAGACTTATGCCAACATCACTTCCTTTTTTTCTTTTCAGTTTTATCAATGTGCCAGGAAGTTTTTACCTCCAGAATTGGCAAGGTCTGGGATTAGAGAGCGAGAGCACTGCAGTATATTTGATCTGATTAATAAAAGCATTAAAAGCCAGTCTCATTTATATGCACTCCCTATTTTGATTGCTCTGAAGCTATATGGTGTGTAGGATTTTACCCCAAAGATATTTGCAAAGTAAAGACTTAAATTTGATATGAAGACTGATTTTTTCATGAAGGGAAAATGATTAAACTGGAATAAATTAAAAGATGGATTTTATACTGTGCAGTACTAATGTACTTTTAAGTTTTTCATGTTATATTACAGTCATCCAATTTAGCACTTCGCCCCCCCAAAAATGTGTGTTCCTACCTGCAGGCTTAGCTATTCCATCTATTCCTTCAGCTTTGTCATCACGGAGTAGAGGGTGAAAAAATGTATAAACAAGGTCACACTGCATTTGGGAAAAAGGTTACACATTAGTTTAACATGTACTAAAAAGATGAGAGTTTGAACTAGTTTTCTTTAAATGCTCTGAGCATTCACCTCAGACACCTCTGCTGAACTGTTCATCAAACTCTGTATGTAGCTGTTCAGCTCTACTTTTCTTCTAGCTGCTACATCCTTTATGTGGGTTCTTCCCAAAACCATCTTATTAGGAAAGCTGCAAGAGAATGACAAGATGCATTTTGTTGCTAATTTTACTGATTTAAGTTAAGACTTACATACAACTTAAATCCTACGTTGTGCTAAATGTATTATTGGCAAAGTCGTCATGATTTAAGACAGGGCACACTAGTGGATTTGCCTTATGATCACACTATTACATTTGCTGTATTCAATATTACACACAAAAATACATTCAAACAACAAGGCTGCAAAGCCAGGCACTCTGCTGTGCCAGAATCAAGGCTGCCTTGTGAAAATTTCATTCAGGTCCTGTGGGTATACGAGTTGTGGTGCAGTCTTTGAAGTACAGGTTGAATCTCTCTAGTCCAGCACCCTCAGGATCTGACTGGTGCTGAACCAGAGAATTGCCGAACCACTGGAGGTTAGTATTGTCTAGCACAGGGGTTCCCAATCTTTTTTTTATGCCGCAGATTGGCAAACCCATTCACAAACATTTGGTTGATCAGTAACATTATACAAATAATGAATATGCAAATAAAATGTTCCACATCTGCCTAGCCCCAACACAACCTCTTGCTCCCCAGTGCCTAACACCCTTGGACCCCTCACTCCTAACCCCCATGCTCTTTGACCCTTTAACCTGTGACCCCTACAGCCCATGCCAACACCCTCTTGCCCTGTGATTCCACCATGCCCTCACCCATCATCACTTTGCCCCCATGACAATCCTGCATTCCCCAGAGCGAGGCTGCCTTCTCTAGGGAGCGTGGCCATTACCACCATGTGAGCAGGGAGAGTAGCCCTCCTCCTTTGTGCCCCCTCCTTCCCCAAGTACATCTTGCACACCCATGGGTGGAGGCGAGCACAGAGCCCTGACCCTCCACCATTACCAGGGGAGGGAGGCACCTCCTACTCCATCTCCTCCTGTCGCCACCTCAGCCCCAGCGCTGCCACTGACAAAAGTGGCCACCTGGGTGGCGGGGGAGGAGAAACACCTTCTGCTCCGCTGCCTCCTGCTGCTGGCAAAAGCGGCTGCACAGGCAGGGGGAGCAGCGGTTGTGGCACGTGCACCTCCCTCCTTCATGCCCCCTCCCTCCTCAAGCATGAAGTGGGGAGACGGGAGGGAGGCACTTCCTCCTGCTGCCAGCTGAGCCACCAGGGCTGCTGGAACTGCCAGGAACAGCCAGCTTGAGTTCCAACATCCTAGCAGCCACATCCTAGCAGCATCCTAGCAGCACATCCTAGCAGCAAGCCGTGACCTGGCAGTTGGGAACTGCTGGTCTAGCAGCATTATCAACACTTTCTCTGTGTACTGGGCTCTTAAAAGACTTGTAGGGGCAAATTAGAGCTAAGCAGTAGCACAGAACACCAAGAGCCAGGACTGGTGGCTGTAAAACTTTATGGAACTGACAAACTTGGCCACACCCATGATAAGTGGACATCCGGCTACCAAACAATCATACCGGACCACGAATGTTGCCAGACCAGAGTGTGCAAGACTAGAGATTCAACCTGTATGTGATCACACTGTCTCAGATGTACCTTCCACACGACTCCTGATATAGAGGCAGCAGCGCAGGGCAGGCTGGTGACTCCATGGGAGCCATCTCTCCCTGCAGATAAACGTTTAACTGCTGAAATTTTCAGCGGTTACATGTTTACCTAAATAGACACATTTTACATCCCTAATGCATATACCCAAGCCAAGTTAAGGTTACCTAGTCCTCCTTAATTCTAACACAGCCTAACTTTGAATGCTTGACTTTGCAACTTTAACAGTTATACTCTGTAATACGTAGCCACCTATGTTTTTAAAAAAAGCTAACTGAAGACAGAAGTTCCATGATGTGTCATATCAACCCACAGACCATCAGCAGAGTTAGAACCTTGAGATCTCTCACACAAATCACTGTCACTTGAGCTAAGGAAGTAATTAACAGCAGATTGACTGACAGGTTATCATCTTGTATGTGGACCAGCACCACAGTGGGATGAGACAGTGGCACATTGGGCTTCACAGATAGAGGTCTAGGGAGTTTACGTCAATTTACCACCCACATCTCTTTTCTCAAATCAAATGGCTTCTTCTTCCATGAGGCCTTATTCTAACAAGGGCATCAGAGCACAGGGGAGACAGGCTCCTTGCTCTCATAACCAGCCCTGGTACAGCCCATAGCAGCAATTGCAGTGGAAGTCCTGATCACTTATGGACTGGACAAAGTCTTTGGGGGAATTTAGCTGCCAAAATATAAGTAGTCTCCACTGACCATATACAAACTGATTTTTCAAAAGTTTATTCCTTGGCCAAATTAGGGTGGATTTGTAACAGGCAGGGCTCGACAATTAACGTAATCTACTCGCCCGTGGTGAGTAGATTTTAGGCCGACGCAGCGTGGTCAGCGCATGTGCAGCGTGCGGTTCTGCGCAGCTGGTGAGCAGAGCTCGCTGCCACTTGGCGAGCCCTGGTAAGAGGGATGGAAAGAAGTACATCCTTTGCAAATTTTTATTCCAATTCTATCAGGGCATCCTGGAAATGGTTGACACCCAAATGGCAGTAACTCTTTGCAGCAAGCATGATATCTTCAAAGAGAGGGTGGCTATTTTTGCTATCATCCAGGATTAGATACATTTCTGGATGTGAGCCCAAAAGAATGAAGGGTGATAGCTTCCCCTTTTAACACTTATGACAACACTGGAAAACTCAAGAGAAAGAAAATTTAATATAAAATTCCTTTATTTACATAAAGGACTGGAGGCATCTTAATTAGGAACGTACCCTGGTAACCTCCAAAGAGGAAAGCGAATACTGAGTTTGTTGTGAAGTTCCTGAAACTCATCAAATGTCCGGAAGACAAATGTTGGTTCAACTTGCCCCTCTCTCAAGACTCTGACCGCATAGATCTGCCAATAAAAATAAAATATTTAAAAGCCATTAATCAATAGCAGCTGTGTTTCCACCAAGATTTTTCTGTGCAATATTTACATTCTAAGGCTAACAGTTTTATTTGATATATATTTTAAATGTTCCTCATGTCTTTAAAGGACATTAAATGTGATCAGTTTGTAATATAAAATCTATATATGCTAGCACATATAGACAAAGAGAACAGCATCATTGTGACTCAGTAGTTACTGCACCCTTCTAGACAGGATTCAGATTCCACACCAGGACTTGCTTTGTACACTAAGCCAGTTTTAATATAGCTGTGAGTTTAGTCTTCTATCAGGTGGGCAAAATCTCTTGTATGCAGAGGTCCCGTGGCAGTTTTTAGCAGAATGAAACAAGACAACAGCAGAGTAAACAACACAGCTCAGATTCTCAATGAGTCAACATTTTAAAAACACGTAATTTGGCAAATCTGCAGATTTCCACAGAGCATGTTTTTGGATTGGATGCGAATACAAATTCTGAATCAGCACAGGGCTCTACAAAGGCAGTTTTATCAGTATGCAGCAATAAAACAAGCTAGAGAGTACGTTCTAAAGGAAACCATCATCCAGGCTATTGATGGCAGGAGACAAATCGCTTGATCATTGTCTTCGGTCAACCCTCTCTGGGGTACCTGGTGCTGGCCACTGTCGGTAGACAGGATACTGGGCTAGATGGACCTTTGGTCTGACCCAGTACGGCCGTTCTTATGTTCTTATGTTCATTATGTGAATGCTTATGATCATAAAAATGAAAGAAAGATTACAGGGAGACAAGATAAAAAACAATGAACAGAGACCAGTACAGAGAAAAATCAGTTATTAGATTGTATTAAAAGGATAGGCTACAGCACATGTAGAACAGGATATATAAATATACAAAAAAAATTCATAACACCATGTGCAATATCATCATCAAGACATAGGATAACAAAGATGACAATAAATAGGTTGTCTAACAGGTTAAGAAAGTTACCTTACATGCTTGCGGAGAAGGGACAGGTAAGAGCAAAAAGAATGGCAGAATTAGGACTGGATTTGTCAATAGGAAGATGTTCATAGTGTCAAGGGTTTGCAGTTTGGAAATCTGGTTGTAATTTAGTAAACTAAAAGAAATAACTCCAAAGTTTGTCTGGTTAGATCAAAGAATACCAAAAACCCTCACTAATCCAGCAAAATGCAGGACAATGTAGCACTTTAAAGAATATACTACAATGGCTTCATTAGTATATTATAAATGACAGTTTATTTAGACAGTGTGTGTCAAAGTGCTGCAAGATTGATGAATCTTTTCTCACTTCTTTTCCTAGCTTGAATTAATCAGTCATAAATTAAGGAAGTTCTACTACAAATGATGAGCCTTTTCCCAGTAAGTTTATCTTTCTTCCTTTTTTGATTTCAGCACTAATCATACGCAGCTATTTGAAGACTGCTTATGGTAGTTGGCTTTTGCATCTGGCATGTTGGAGGATCTGTATATATCTGCAATACTGGAGAGTTGCGGGTCTTAGGAGTTGCTGTGGCATACCCTAAAACTGAATCAAAATTTAAGTTCAGTGACTTCATTTGTAACACACAAATGTATTAGAGTTTCCTTTCTAAAATTAGAGATCTGGCCACACCTGTGTTTAGAATCATGTGTGTTAGTTACAACCCTATAAACAGAGAGACTGCTATAATTGTTGTCTCCAGATATGGTGGTGCTGGGGCAGCTAGGCATTGTGTAATTGGCTGCTGGAGACTATATAAAGAAAATAGCCCGTCACAAGACGGGCTTTTCAGGTCTCTCCTCCACGTCAGTCTTCTCTCCTGAGCCTCCGGTCTCTCTCCTCCCAGCAATTTGATAATTCTTACTGAGACTCTGAAGTTTTACACCACTTTTTGAAGTTTTACTAGTAGTAAGATATACTACAATGGCTTCATTAGTATATTATAAATGACAGTTTATTTAGACAGTGTGTGTCAAAGTGCTGCAAGATTGATGAGTCTTTTCTCACTTCTTTTCCTAGCTTGAATTAATCAGTCATAAATTAAGGAAGTTCTACTACAAATGAGCCTTTTCCCAGTAAGTTTATCTTTCTTCCTTTTTTGATTTCAGCACTAATCATACGCCGCATGTCACCGCCCCACCCCCTTCACCTCCTGCTGTGGCGCTTGGCTGACTTCTGCGCTGCTCAGCCGGGCCGCCGCAGGGGAGCAAGCGGCCCTCTGGGCCCCACACTCCCCATGCAGCACGGGCCGCCCAGAGGGAACAGCCAGCATTTCAGCGTTACAGACTCTCAGACACTGGGCTACTATATATATACACACATACAGAGACTCCAGCCAGACCAGGGCAATATGAGGGGTTAGGTAAGATCCTGAAGGAAGCCACTCCATGAGGAATAGGCCAGAAAAAAGCTACTGGGGGAAAGAGGGGATATTGTACCCTCTCCTAGCTTGCTGAAATCTAGAAAGGCCTCTAGTGGCTGGTGCCAAGCATTTTTAATTGCTTTGCTTGATTTGAATCCTTTTGTGATGATAAAGCCAGAAACAAGGTTAAGAGCTTTGCACCAAACCGTAGAGTGGGCTTTATTTTATCTTCTCCAGCTGGTGAATCTGCCCCATGGCTTACAGAATAATTCATGTCATTTTGACTAGATGAAATATATGTATTTAGAGGAAATAATTAGGACAACAGCCTAGACCAGTATTCTAAACTAGAGTGCTATACAGAGGTACAAAAATGTAACATTAGCTTTAGAAAGTGAACAATTCTGATGTCAGATTTGCCTAGTTCTACTATTTTCAATTGAAAGTTGCAAATATAAACCTATTTTTTCAGATTGTGGGGTTCTTGACATCATATCCTGTCCAACATGTTCAAAATCCGTGGCTTGAGTCCACCAATTTTGGAGTGGTAGATTCCAGTGCTTGTTGCCTTTAGACTCAGCCACAAGTGAAAGACTGAGCAGACTGGCAGAGCTGCTATATTCCAAGAGGAACACAGTGATTTTTTACGTATTTTACTATAAACTAGAAATTCAGAGTTAAACACATTAAGGTATGGAAAAGTAGCCAGGGCACTGCAGTACATAACTGTACACACTATCTAATGGTAACAATTTAATCTAATCTGGGTCCACAAATAATAAATGCCATTATCACACTGTTATTGTGCAGTGTTACTACAGCACTGTCTGGGTAGACTAACTGTACTTTTTTTGGTTCAACACATTAAATCTTAACTCTTAGTTTCCTGGTGATAATGCTTGGCTAATTATGCATGCTATAATATTACATTTCTATGCTTGGTCGGTGAAGAGACAGCTGAAAGAAACAAATGAATTAAGCCCATTTAGAAATACAGATAAGTTCTGCCTTTTTTTTTTTTTAAACACTTTTGGGGGCACAGACCGCTTGTCTGTTGATAAAAGATTAATTTATTTAGATGAGGGGAATATGGAAATAAAGGGAATGGTGGAGAGGAAGTATGAAGATGGCCGCAAGCCCAGTGAGTTTTTACAAACTGGAATAAAATCTACACACTTACATAATGTTTATCTGGGTTGTACCTCTTTTGGTACGTGAACACAGACACTTCCTTGATTCGACCATCTTGTCTAAGAGAATATGTTTTGGGAGAAAATGAGAGAATGGGCTCATCATTGGAAGGTAGGCCTGAAAAACGTAGGTGAGCCAGACTGTGAATGAAGAAATTAAACTTTGTGGCAACACTTCCCAAACTGGATTCAATCAGCCTATAAAAAAAGAAAGTAATTTCAAATGCTAGAGCACAATTCCATATTCGGCGCACACATTCCAATGTTATTATCCAGCTTAACTTCCAAGTTCTAAAACGTATCAAATCCTTACCAAGGCAAAAGGACACATGCTCACTGGTCCATTGACATAACCAGGACTTGAAAAATCGCGGCAAAACCTACTTGCCAGCCCTGCACTGTGCATGCACAAAACCCGCATTGTGCATGCGCGCGTCGCCGGTGAACAGGACGACCGGCTGAAATCTACTCGCCCTGGGCGAGTAGATTCACTGATTGGCTGAGCCCTGGACATAACAATGTTTCTGCATTTACTGGGATATTTTGGGTGCTTCTACACTGCAAGGCTTAACTCGAAATATGCTATGCAAGTTGAGTTGTGTCAACTGCGTAGCTTATTTCAAAATAGGGTGCGTCTACACAGCACTTATTTTGAAAGTAAAACCGCGGTCTAGATGCGGTTCTGTCGAAAACGGAATACAGGATCTTTCGAAAAAGCCTGCCGTTTGACAGAACCGTGTCTAAACCACGGTTTTACTTTCGAAATGGTGCCTGCTCGAAAGAGCGCCATTATGCGATTATGCAAACGAAGCACGGGATATTTAAATCCCCGCTTCATTTGCAATTTCGAAGTGTGTAATTTACATCCCTCTGTCGAAAGAGGGATATAGTCTAGACACAGCCTTAGTTAATGAATCAATGAATGATACACTGTAAGAGACCGCATAGTTCAGGGATTCTCAATTTTTTTCCCCGAGCCTCATCCCCCCCCTCCATGCTATGAATACTCCACAGCCCAGTTGTACCACAAAAGCTGCTTATCAGAAATATAAAAGCCAGGGCCAGTGTTAGGGGATAACAAGCAAAGCAATTGCCTGCAACCCCCAGTGCCACAGCTACAGTGTTCAGGTTTTGGGTACAGCCTTGGGGGGCTTCAATTCCATGCAGTGGGGGCTTAGGTTTTGTGCCCTGGGCCCCAGTGAGTGTTAAACTGGTCCTGCTTGCAGCCCATCAGAGGGCCCCAGGCCCCTGGTTGAGAACCACTGCAGTAGTTCACTTCATGAAAACTGTATACAGTAAAAATATTTATAATTAGATTTCTGAGCTGTTTCCAAAATACAAGAAACTGCAGTTCCACTGGAAGTTATTCTTTGAAGATGAGGCTTTACAACAAGAGGGTTCCTACTGTAAACAACTTTATAAGAGCCATATTCGCTATGAAATCAATTTAGGGAATTGTTTCCTGATGAATAAAGCTGTTAAGCTACCACTACACTACCAGCATTTTTTAAAATTTTCAGTGTTATTTAAAAAAAATATCCAACAGGTTCAACATTTTAGCCCAACATTTAAGCATTTGAGAAACTGAAGTTATGTTCTGATTTCAATTAGTGATAGATAACACTAGCATTTTGCTTAATAAGGACTTGGCTTCACTGTCGTAGAGATTGAGGCTGCTGTGGTCAATCTTCCAGCGTTCGAGTTAGCGGGTCTATCGATTTAACTGCTAAATTCAACACTGATGGTTCCCCCGTCAATCATGGTACTCCTCACAGTCACAAGAAATAAGGGAAATTGATGGGAACGTTTATCCCATTGGCCTCCTGCAGTGGGGCCATCCAAGGGGAAAAAAATTCAAAGTAAGGTACGGTCTACTACAGCTACACAATTAGCATAGTTGGCATTGTGAATCTTACATCAATTTTCTCCATCAGTGTAGACCTGACCTAATTAGAGAGGATATCTTCAAAAATACTGAACTTTTATAAGCCATAAATATTTCAGTGGCTCTGTTTTTTTAGTGCCATAGTCCAGAGCTTTCAATGGAAAAAAATGGTGAGTTTATGTATTTTCTTTGTTTCACTTGTCTAGTACCTTGTAAAGAAAATTGTAGCTTCTGCATCTGTAGTTTGGGGCTGAAGAGCATCTTGGACATATTTTAAGTCTTGAACTCCAGTAAGTTCTGGTAATCCGGAAGCAAGCATCTATAGCAGACACAAGTTATTTTCTTTCCAATGTAACAATAGCATCAAACATATTTCTACATTTCAATAATTAAAATACTAAGGCCCAAAATTTCAGCCCAAAATTTGATGGAGCATCTGGGTACTACTATTAAATATTAATACTATTAACAACTACTCCCACCACCACATTTTGTGTTAGTTAATATCAGAGTTGAAGAAAAATTAGTATTTGAATTCTTAATATTTAGCAGTTACTTTAGTTATAGCTCTGTAGTATGAGGAATTTTACACACAATTTTAATTTTCACAATGCAAAAATTAAGGGAAACATGTCAGTAGCAAATGCCCCCAGTATTTTCACAGGAACATTGCTAAATTTCTGGTTTGTAGCTGCACATATTTAGAAGAACTTTTAAAGTATATATGCCAACAATTTATATTTTTATATAAACTGGGTTTGTCACAAGCTGCAACTCCTAGGCATGAACTCACTAAAATGCACAGTTAAATCACAAGAACATTATATGCAATAAAACTATTACCAGTGAAAGCAGGTTAAGGAAAAGGTTTGCTTGTTTTCTGATCAAATTGTAAGCTTGGCAGCAGAGATCCACAAACAACTGAAAACGAATAGTAGATTTTTCACCACCATTAATGACATAGGCCATATCTGATGTTAGCACAAAAGGTGCTCGATCCCTGTTTAAAAAAAGCAAATTATACAGAGTTTATTCCCATGACTGTTTCTTGGACTTTCATGCACTTCCAGTTGCAATTTGCTAAATGCAATTACTACTCTAAAACAGCATTTTTTCAAGAGCTAGAACTACGTATATTAATCACTGTACTTGCAGGAAGCAGGCCAGTTTCACTCACTGGGTATTAGCCATTTGTGCCAATACTAATGTAACTGTCAGTTTCAAAGGGGAGAATATTCTCTCCAAAGTAATCAAATCCAGTAGTTCATTAATACAAAGTTTTACTTTGACCAGGTAACAGCAGAAAATATTAATTCCCAGCCAAAAAGATCTTTAAACTAGAGTTGAAGTCGTAATTGTAAATCTACTATATTTAAAACATTCACAGGTCAGGGAATTAGAAATTTATTTTTATGGAACCTTAGTTACCAATTTTCAGACTTTCAAACTTAAATACTATCCTGATCAAAATACCACACTAGTATTTAATACCATCCAGCACATAAGAATGATCCATCCATCCATCCAAACATGAATTCTTTTCCCCTTCATCTCATCCATATGCTGACTGCCAGAAAGTTGGATGTTTCAACTCATCCTCTATATCCATTATAGGAAAAAGTTCTCATTCACCATTGGTCTGTGACCTAGACAGAGCCATTTACTTCTTCCATACTCCAAAATGTACAGCAGATAACACCCCTAAGTTCTCACCTTAACTCATTCAACTCCTGATAAAGTTTAAGGTACTCCATCATGCAATATAAAATTGTATGCCTTCCAGAACAGCACAGAGTAGCTATGCCACAAGTTATACAAAGATATTCCTTGGTAATCAGAACTATGATACAGTAGCTGGGGTCACAGTTGAAGTTTCCCAAACCATCTCAACAGTTAAAAGCTACTTTAACCTAATTTTAGAATTTCGTGGTTCCAAAATGTTTAGTGATATTCCTGAACGTATAGAAAGCAGAAAGCCCTGCAGAGAGTGCGGGGCCAGTGGGGGACTCACCTGATGGTCCTGCGCTCCCTGCAGGGCTTCCTTTTGAAATGTACAAGAGCCCACTAGGGCTATTGTATATTTCAAAGGCTTAGGCACAGTAGGGAGCCTGAGGCCAGTCCCCCGCTGGCCCCGCACTCCCTGCAGGGCTTCTGCTTTTGAACTGTAGCATGGCTCTTGATACAGTTCAAAGGTGAAGGCTCCCTTAACTAACTGAATAGTCGATGGAAATCCAACCGACTATCTGATTAGTTAATTAATCTGAATTTAACATCCCTACATGGAACTGGCAGTTTGGGTCACCCCACCCTTTATGCTCGTGTGGGGAAATAGGAGAGCCTGTCTGACCTCCTAGAAAGAACGCTCTGCATCCCACCTGAGAGATCCACACACCCAGGTGCTCGATGAAGACAATGCTAAGTTTGCATAAAGACTACTTATCAGAATGTTTATCAGAATGTGGGGAAAAATGCAAAAAGGAAGTTGCTTGCATTCTCAAATGCAAAGCTGTAGAAAATACCTTTTAAAACTACCAAACATCTGTGCATGGCCCAAAAACTTTCCAAAGTCAATATGAAACATATGTCCCGTGGTTCGAAGCATTATGTTATCATTGTGACGGTCACAGATTCCCAATATGTAAGTGGCTACACAGCATCCTGCACAAGAATAGATGAAGTTTTCTGAAGCCTGAAATCAGCAAAAATAATGATATCAGAACGAATCTACTAATGGGGGGAAAATGTACTTCAATTTATCATTCATTTGGGGTTCACTTCTTACAACAGGGATGTGGCTCTGGGCAGCTGACATCTCTTAAGCTTCCCTCAGACTACTTGAGAAGCTATTCATTTAGGCAACATTCTAATCTATAGGCTGTACTGCTAAGGGGAAAAGAAATTTGTTGGGGTTTTTTTTGGGAGAGGCGGGGTGAGAATAAGGAGGAAGATAAGGTAGAGAAAAGGTCATTCAGAGATAAACATTTTGTCCTTTTCTTCTGCTTTGTTTACCAAATCTGCATATCCCTGCCTGGTAAAACTGAAGTGTTGCTTCTCCTTCAGATGCAATATAAGGGGGCTGTATCTCCTAACCCATGATTAAACCCAAAACCAGGTCTACACTAAAGAGTTAGATCAACCTAATTATGTGAACATGTGCACTACAATGTGCCTCCTACTGGAGTCAGTCATAACTTCACTTCCATGGGAGGCGTGGTACTTACACTGAGGTAGTTAGGGTACTGCATTGTCCATGTAAACACTGCATTGCTTACATTGCCTGTTGGCTGTCAGCCCTATTCAGGGCTGACAGAGCCTTCCCCACACCTCCAGCTCTGACAAATGGAGCCATCAGCCAGGCATCAGGGTACAGCTGTGAATCCCATGCCAAGCTGCCAGTTTGAGCTGCCAGAGCTGGGGTAGTGAGGCCCCAGGAGTGCTGGGATCCAGCTGCCAGTGTCCCACAAAGCCCCACAGCAGTTGGTGGAAGCACTCCTTGTGAGGATGTGCCCCACCAAATCAAGGAGCAAGCATTGCTTTGATTATTGTTGTGGCTGTTTGTTGACTTGTCCACACTACACAATTAAGTCTAAACAAGTCCTGAATATCATGCTTTTCCCTATTTTTAATTTTGGAATGAAAGATTTATTACATTTTAGGAGATACTTCCATAGACATTTCTGAAATGAATTCTAAACATTAAACTCCTGTTTCTAAAAGACTCCTTTTACACTTCTACAGTCAATTTTGATTGTTTTCTGAAATACATACAGTACAGAAAATTCAACTTTCCAAACAGTATAAAACAAAGATTGTTAGAAAACTTAGTGGCAGAATAAGAGTTATATTCTCCTGTAACTTAAAATGTTAATCACGTTAAAAGAAGATTATGGAAATTACCTTTTCATATTCTTCTTCTGTAGGATTATACTTTCGCAGCCATTCTGCAAGTGGCTTGTCTTTAAAAGATCCTGTCACTCCATATTCCACTTGAATTTTCCTAAGAGTATCTGAAGCTGGAACAAGCTCCACCATTCCTTTATATAAAAATTAAATTATGTGTTATATATAGAGGGGGAGTGCACACATGAGAGAAAGAATGCTCTGGTTTACAGGTTTTTTTTACATTATATTCTCCACTACCTCATTTGATATTGAGTTTCTTGAAGACATTTGATTTTAAAATGTAGGATCCAATCCCAGTTACAAGCAGTAAAAAAAAACCTGTGAACTTTGTCACCTATCTCTCTGCAGGCAATTTTACAATGTATACTACAAAATATATATAGCCAAATTAGGCTTGTGTTATTATGATCATCAGTTAAAGTGTGGCAAATAGTTTTTGGAGTCACAATAGGAGTTACCTGCTATCAGCTGCAAATTATGCAATTTGTGTTAAACTAGCATTAGATATAATCATTATCTAATGACTGTATAACATCTCACTGCACCATAAGTAATTTAGGTGATTAGCTCTGTAGTATAAATCGAGTGCTTGAGTAGAAAAGGCTCCAAGTTGACTTATTTCTAAAGAAATACAAAGTTCCCAATGTGTGAAGCTACAAGGGGCTTTATTTAGTAGAAAATGACTATTAAAAAAATAAGAGCTCCTATAGCTAAACCACAAAGTGGGAAATAATCCCTATTTGAATAGCAGGTTGTTTTGTGGAGGAGAGGAAGCAGCAGGCATAAGTCAGTTACAGAGTTTCCATTTTTCTTTCAGGCTAGGTCTACACTACAGGCTTCTTGCGCAAGAAGCTTTTGGCGGAAGAGATCTTCCGCAAAAACTTCTTGCACAAGAGAGAGTCCACGCTGCATGGATACTCTCTCAAACGAAAGCGCTGATAGCTATCCACTGAATGGCTACCAGGGCACCTGTGCTTTTTCCTCTTTCCTGTTTCTGTGCAAAAAAAACCCCGTTACCCATCCACACACACCTTTCTGGGCAAGAACTCTTGCACAAAAAGGAGCCCCGGGTCAGCTGGGGAGTCCTCAGTGAACCCCAGTCTCCATGCAGTGTGCCAGCTTTGAAATGTACAAGTCCCCAGCAGGGGCTCTTGTGCATTTCAGAGCAGCAGTGCAGCATGTAGCCTGGGCCAGCGCAGGACTCGGTGTCTCCCGCTGACCCCAGGCTTTATGCAGGAGCTTCTGCTTTGAAAGGCACAAAAGCCCGTGTAGAGCCCGGGCTCCATGCAGCGTTCCAACTCTGAAATGCACAATGGGGTCTTGTACATTTCAAAGGCGGATCGCGGAAGTACTTATCGACTAGTTGAGTAGTCGATGGAAATTCCATTGACTACTAGACGAGTAAATTAATCGCTACTTAACATCCTGTATTTAAACATCAAGGCATTTACTGTATTGTGAATCGTGGCCAGTCAAAATAAGTGTAGAAGAAAAGGCTGCCTCATTCCTGGGTAAATGTAGTAGAGTATGTGGTGTAAAATTAAATGGATTTTTTTTTAAATCGCTTTTTTAAAAACAAAGTATTCATATAGGTACACAAGTATTGATTTTCATATTTCTTTCAGAGTTAAATTATTCCTTCTGAGGGACTGCCGTGATGACAGTGGCTACAAACATTTTAACAGATCAATTTTGACCTAAATACATCTGTGAAAGTATCAAATAGGGTACCAGAATTAGCATTGCTACTGCTTTCTATCATTTCTTCTCAATTATGTTTTTCTCCACTGTTTTTCCTGCCATAGTGAAGTATCTAATTTGTGTTTGTTTTATTTTGGTTTGTTTTTTGTTCCACTGATCTCTAACTGCAAGGACCACAAGGGACTCAGTGGTCAAGAGCAGAAGTGTATCTCTAGCAAGTGGGAACAGATTATTCGTGATTTCAGTCAGTTTAGTTGCACAATACAATTAACACTGGTAAAGTAATCTTGCTCTAGTTTTTCTGGGTGCCTATTGCTCGCATTCTTACACATATCTGCCATCCACGAGCAACCTATGGGTTTGCCACTGTGCATAAATGTATCGTACTCCCTTTCTGCAGGGAAAAACACCGAGAAGTGTCTATCTGGCTACTGCACCTCTATCTTTTCCAGTTGAGAGACACTTGAAGAGAACCATCCGCAGGTCCAGTCCCCCCTGCAGCCAGATTTTGTCCATAATCTTTATCATCTGTAAAGCCAACATATCTTGTCGCAGATCTTCTCCAACCTTAAATAAAAGCAAGCAGAGAAAGGATATCATGAACAATGAACTAAAAAAGAAGTTACCCTGTGAAGTAACGATTGTTCTTCGAGATGTGCCCCGTGGGTGCTCCACTCTAGGTGTTGGGTCCCGTCCCGGCACCGCAGCTCGGAGAATTTTCATAGCCATGTCCCGCCAGCCCGCGCATGCGCGCTCCTTCAAAGCGCCGTTCGCGCCTTTGATCAGCCGCGCGCAGGCTGGCAACCGCCAGTTCCTCTCATCTGCTCATCTGAAAGAGAGAAGAAGAAAACCAGAGCGGGGAGGAAGGGCGGGTCATGGAGCACCCACGGGGCACATCTTGAAGAACAATCGTTACTTCACAGGGTGAGTAACTTCTTTTTCTTCTTCGAGTGGCCCCGTGGGTGCTCCACTCTTGGTGACTCTGGAGCAGTACCTAAAGAGAGTCCAGAGCGCTCCGAAATTAGGCTTTATGATCACGACTAAGTACTGCCGTAGCTACCGAAGAGTCCGAAGCAAACTGATCAACTATAGCATAATGTCTCATAAAAGTGACATTAGAGGACCATGTCGCTGCCCTGCAAATGTCCCGGAACGGAACTCCCTTCAGGAAGGCCGTAGTAGTGGAAACCGCTCTGGTGGAGTGGGCCTTTGGAGGGTTTGGCAGAGGTTTCCCTCGTATAGAATGGCACATAGATATGCATGAAACGATAAGTCTCGAAATACGTTGGGAGGTCAATGGTTGGCCTCTAGAACGGTTTGCCAATGACACTATTAAACGGTCCGTTTTCCTAAAGTCTCGCGTTCTATCGATGTAGAATGCCAAGGCTCTCCTTACATCCAGCGTATGCCATATTGCTTCTTGCACTGAGGCATGGGGTTTAGGGAAGAAGCATGGAAGAACCACTGGTTCATTAATGTGAAACGAAAAAACTGTATAGGGAGACGAAGCCATGAACACTGCTATCTCACTGACCCTACGAGCTGAAGTAAGGGCTAGGAGAAACAAAAGCTTGGTGGTAAGTACGTGTAACAGAATAGTGGCTAGAGGCTCAAAGGGAGGATGAGATAGAGCTTCCAATACTAAATCCAGATTACACGACGGTGGAGGGGGTCTGCGGGGTGGGTTGAGGTTCGCAAGCCCCTTTAGGAATCTTTTCGTAGTAGGGTGTGCGAATATAGAGAAGGAGTCGTCCATGTGATGAAAGGCATTAATCGCTGCCAAATGCACCCGTAGGGAAGCTATGGCCAGTCCATTATCCTGGAGTTGCAAAATGTACTCTAATATACGAGGTAAAGGTGTGGAATAGGGGTCCATGTTGTTAACCGCACACCATGCCTGGAATCTGGACCACTTAGCTATATAAATAGCTCGTGTAGAATCTTTCCTGCTATGTATCAACACCTTCTTGACCCGCTGGGAACAACACTGTTTGAAACTGCTAAACCAATGAGCATCCATGCTGTGAGGTGTAGAGTCTCGGGTTTCGGATGGCGCAGAGATCCGTTGTCCTGGGTCAAGAGATTTGGAAGGAGAGGTAGGGGGGTACGGTGCCTTTACCGACATCTGATGGAGCATTGAGAACCAAAGTTGATGAGCCCATGCTGGGGCTATAAGAGTTACTCGAGCCCCCTCTATGCTGATTTTCTCGAGAACCTTGGGTATTAGAACGACTGGGGGAAAAGCATACAACAGCATCCGTCCCCCGTGGAGAAGGAAGGCGTCTCCTAGTGACTGACGTCCTATTCCCGCTCTCGAACAATAGGTGGGGCATTTCATGTTGTTTTCTGTGGCAAACAAGTCTATTGTCAGAAACCCCCACCGCACAAATATATGGTTTAAAACCTCTGTGCAGAGTTCCCACTCGTGGTCGTGGGGAAAACGTCTGCTGAGTGAGTCCGCTACTAAGTTGTCGGTACCCAGAAGGTAGAATGCTACTAGGATGGTGTTGTTGTGAATACACCAATTCCATAACCGGACCACCTCCGCACATAGAGAACGAGATCGGGCACCTCCCTGCCTGTTGACATAGAACATAGTTGCCATGTTGTCCGTCATGATTCTGGTAGCTGTATCCCGTATGTGGGACTGAAAATGCTTGCAAGCATGTCGTACCGCCCGCAACTCGAGTATGTTTATGTATAACATCATTTCTTGAGTTGACCAGCGACCCTGAATCGTCAGGTTGTCCATGTGCGACCCCCAGCCTGTGAGGGAAGCATCTGTAGTTATCTGTCTTGTAGGCTGCGGACAATGAAATGGGATGCCCGTGAGGAGATTGCCCGGTTTGGCCAACCACTGAATAGACTCTTGAACATGTTGGGGTACCACCACCAGTCTGTGGATACTGCCTTTTGCCAGACTGTAAACCATGGCCAACCAATGCTGGAGGCAACGAAAATGTAACCTTGCGTTTTGTACGACTACGGTGGAAGCCACCATGTGGCCCATCAGTTGTCAACAGGCGCGTGTAGGAATTGTCGGAGCATGCGTGACAGTATGTACAAGGTCTTGAATCGCCACAAAACGCTCCAACGGTAGGTATGCCCGTGCCACAGTTGAGTCGAGCCGTGCACCTATAAAAACCAGGTCTTGGCACGGAATTAATAATGACTTTTTACATTTATGAGGAGGCCCAGGGATGCAAACTTGCTGGACACTGTCTGCACCATATGACATGCCTCCACATATGTTGAGCCACTGATTAGACAGTCGTCCAAATAAGGGAATATTGTCACTCCTGTCCTGCGTAAATGAGCCACCACTATGGCTATAGTTTTGGTGAAGACCCGGGGGACGCACGCCAATCCAAACAGTAGAACCCGGTACTGAAAATGTTCGTTCCCTAATTGGAACCGAAGAAAACGTCTGTGAGCCACGTGAATAGCAACGTGGAAATAAGCATCCTCCAGGTCAAGGACTGCAAGCCCATCTCCCTTGTTCAATGACGGAATGATAGTTGATAAGGTCACCATCTTGAATCGGCATTTTCGAAGGTGGCGGTTTAACCTTCGAAGGTCTAAGATGGGTCTCCAGCCTCCCGATTTCTTCGGAGTGAGAAAATATCGGGAATAAAAACCTTTTCCCCAAAATTGTTTGGGTACTCTCTCTATTGCCCCGATTGCGAGTAAGTGAAGAACTTCTTGTTTCAGCAGTTGCTTGTGAGAAGGTTCCCTGAAAAGGGACGGGGTGGGTGGAGTGGAAGGGGGAATGGAGAGAAAAGGAATTGAGAGGCCGTACTTTACCACTTCTAGTACCCATCTGTCTGTGGTGATGTTGGACCACTGGTGGTGATATGATTTCAGTCGA